GAGAATTTGTAGAAGCACAGGTTCTCACATTTTACTGCTTTATCGATGCTTTTGGAAGTCGAAGAAGAGAAGGACGAGCACATGAAGCTGTTGCCATGATATTTTGTTTCCAGAGCAACACGCACGCGCATCGCTTGTCTTGATGCTTTTTTAGAAGTCCACGGAAGGAGGAGCGCGCACCATGTCATGTTGTCCACGAGGTTTTGGTAAAATTCAGGAAGAGAGGGCAGGAGCGCACGCCATCGGACAGTGCTTGTTGGTTTTTGGTAAAAAACACGGAAAGTTGTGGAGTATAGAAGACGAGAAGCCAGAGGACGCGGCGAGGTTTATATATCCGCCAGACCGACACATGAACGGGTTGAAAAGGTCTTTTGTCACAGCATCCTAGGATAGCTTTGTAGTTTTAGACAGAGAGAGAGCTCATGATGCATTCGTAGGCTATTTTTGACAGCTCCTCAGTCATGCCAGTGGTTCTCGGAAGCTTTGTGCACCCTACGTTCCCTCTTTCTACAGCTTTGGAGAACAGCGACCGGCCATGTAACTTTCATGATAAATTTTCCTCGACCAGCCATCCACATTGCTGATCACGTTTTCTCGGCTCTTCGCACAGCCATGGCGTCCATAGCAATATATTTTTAGTCCTTCCCGAAACGAAGACATTTGCGAGAGAGAGCTGAGTTTTTCGGAAAGACAGGACAGTCGCCAGGACATTCGAACGCCTGCATGGAATTTTTGGATAGTCGATTCTGTTTTGAGAAGGCGCAGGAGGAAGTGCACACCATGAAAGAGAATCGTACTCCTTTTGATGAAAATAATGGAGAGGCGCAGAAAGAGCGCGCACCATGTTGTTGTCCAACCTTGTTTTTGGCGTAAATGATGGAAAGGCGAAGGAAGGCGCGCACACCATCCAAAAGTTGCTTGTCGATTTTGTATAACACAATAGAGAAGCGCAAGACGAGGCGCACATCATGGCATAAGATCGAGACAGTTTTTGGAGAAACTCAGAGGAAGAAGCGGAGGCAGGAGCGCACACCATGATAACTTTGCCGTTCTATTTTGGAAAATAATGGAGAAGCGCGGGAGGAAGCGCGCACCATGGCGAGGGCGCGAGGGCGTTTTGGAGAAACCTAGAGGAAGGGTGAGTGATAAGAGACAAAAAGAGAGGGAGTAACGAGAGGTATTTATACACGGCCAGCGGTGCACGTGCTACAACTAAGAGAAGAAGTTGAGACGATTCGAAATCTTCAGGTCTTCCCATGTCTTCTAGGAAGGCTTACTGTTATCCTGTAAGCCGTATCGATAGTTAGTGTATATAACCCCCCTTATCCGCGCCTTTTCATGCCATCCCGGCACACCTAGACGCCCATGCCCACCATACCGTCCCTACTTCTTCCCCCTCCCCTTGGATTTACTCCTCGTATTCCGACTGGGCGGGGGCGTATCCTCTCCACTGCTGTCCGCCTCAGCCTCCACAACCACACCCTCATCTTCCACCTCCACCTGCTCCATCTCCTTCTCAGCCTCATCCGCACCCTGCCTATCCTTCGCCTTCCGCTCCGCCTCCCAATCCCTAACAAGCCTCGTAACATCATCTTCCCGCGGCTTCTCCTTCCCATTCCACGCACTGCACCCACCACATCTCCACCTGCCAACATCTTCGAGCGTGCGGGCACCGGGTGGAGCTTGCCCGTTCACAAGTCTGCACTCCGAACAGATCAAGACGAAGCGGTTCTTAGCCTGTGTTTCGTCTTCGCCGAGAAGAGCGTCAAGGATGCGGTCGTACCAGTGGGTTTGTGTGAAGGCTGCGGGAGAATCGGCGGTGTATTGTTTGGTTAGGTCAACGGCACCTGTGTTGAATGCGTTGGGCGCGAATTCAGCGCCTGGGGTTTCGGGCGGGGGTAGTTGTTGCGGCGGGGATGGGCCCTGAGGGGACGAGATGTTCGAGAGGGGTTTCTGTGGGGTATGCGGGAGTTGCTGGGGCTGGGGTCGCTGGATGTTTGCCGTTGGGGGAGGAGGCATGCCAGTGCGGGGCCCTGGAGGCGGCGCAGGCTTCTGGGGGCCTTGGGACTTTGTGCGACCTGGAGAGTCGCCTTGTTGTGGCTGCTCGGGTTGTTTGGGCGAGGCGCCATATTTCTCGAGTAATTGCTGGGTTGAGTTGTACTTGGTGGCCTCCTTGAGGCGCTCAATGGTAGCGTCGCGTTCTTTGTTCAGCTTCTTGAGGTAGGCTTCAGTGTTGCGGATGCGGTAGTCGAAGTAGCTCATGAGCGCGTAGCGGAGGCCGTAGATCCTGGAGGGTTAGAGAAATTCCTTGCCGCGATGACGATGAACATACAAGACAGGCCCGCCGGCCACCACGCTTCCCTCAATGGGACCCCAGTTCTGCCAGCCCGTCACGAAGGTGAGCACCACCGCGACCAGAATATACGCGAAGCCGGTATACAGCGTCCACATGACGCGCGCGCGTCGCGAGAGCTGCTTCTGTTTGTCATTGCGCGCAGCGGCCCTGTTGATCTTGCCAGTCAGAGTGTTGAGCGTCCTCTCGAACGAGGCGGCATCTTCGCTACCCTGTCACAGTCAGCAAGCGTATTAGCGCGTGGTTAGATTCGACGTACCTTCCAAGGCCAGAAGGACACCATGTTGGCTCTGGTAGATCGCAGCCCGGTGTGGGAGCTAGATTTCTACCGTTGAGGCCACCGAAGCGTTGCTCGTGTGTGGACCACTTTCAGCTGCGCGACGTCAGCGGGTGTCGGATCGCCAGCCGGGGGACCCTGGCGGGAACGATGTCACGTGTGCCAACTTTCCTCGCGGAAGTTCCGAGCGGAACTGGTCGTTCTTCACACGCTTCGATTCACTACATACACACCGCCCCGACTCTACACACGATGGCGCTAGTTGCATACCGGAACCTGCTGCGATCCGCGCGCATCGCCTTCCAAGGTACGAAATGCGACATTGACCTACTTCCCGCGCTCACACAGCACAGGCGACATGAACACGCTCTTCGCCGCCCGCACCGAAGCCCGTAACAAGTTCGAGGCGAACCGCAACCTACGAATCGGAAGTGAAGAGTTGCAATCGTCATTAGTACATGCGGAGGAGGTGGCCAAGTTCCTGCGGGAAAACGTGGTACAAGGGCAAGCAGCGGACCCAGAGGGCGAAAGCTACAGTATGCAAACAGCATAATGGTATTGGGATCGATTGGCTAATGCAGGCAGAACTACGGATACACGAGCACACCGAGCGAGGCGACAACGAGGATATCAAAAAGGGCAAGGGAAAGAGTACATTGGGAGGCACAAAATGCTGTTCCTCCTAGGCTTTTATGCACATCGAATGAATCATGATACCCATACAGTCCAAAACGCCGACCCAATGCAAGAAATAAAGACCTAATTTCCGGCCAAACTGGCGTATTGCACATCGTCATCAGCTCCGGGTGGAGGTGCAACAACCATGCTGTCCAAACTGTTCTGTGGTGCAGCCTCAATGGCGGCTTGGGAAGCAGCTGCGCGTCGTGATGAGCCAGCGACTTGTCTTCCCTCCTTTGCGTATTGCATCCTAACATTCTGATCCAAGCTGTCCAGCTGCTTCGGCTTGCCCCAGGTGACGCGCATAGGGCAGCCCTTGATGACCACCTTGCCCTTCAGTGTACCCGCTGCTGTCTCGGCATCTTCTCGCTTGACGAAGTTGACGTATGCGCAATGCGCTCGATGTGAGCATACCAGCGATCGAAGTTGGCCGTATTGTGAAAAGTGTTTGCGGAGCTCGTGCTCGGGAAGATCGTCTTCCACACCCGTGACGAAAAGCGATGCAACATTGGGATCTGAAGGTGGCAGCCAGTCTTGCGGATTTGGCTCCGCGGATGCGCCGCCCATGCGACCTCCTCTTCCAGGCCTCATGCCTCCTCGTGTAGGTGTACCTCGTGAATCTCGCGTTCTGATCGGACCAGGGACGTGACTGCTCTCACCTCCTGCGCCACCTCCGCCGGGCGCGGGTAACGCCTTTTGCCCACTCTCGCCCTCCTCAGCCTCTATCCGTCGCTGCTTCTTGTAGTAGGGCTCACTCTGCGCCAGACGCTTGAGGAGGTCGCGCGCCTTCTCATCCGTCTTCTCGTATGCCTCCATCGCTCCACGCCCCTCCTCGATCTCTCTCTCGTGCTCTTGCGCATAGTACTGTCGGTTGATGTCGCTCTGTGGGCCGGGCGCCACCATCTTCAGCGCAGCATCACGGACTACGATGGGCAGTCCAAACGACAAATCGAGCATGCAGTGCTGGCAGCAGTTCTTGAGGCGGGCGCATGTGAGGCAGATGTTGGTTCGCTTTTGTCGCGCGGTGCGGTCGGCCTTCCAGCGGAAGATAGTGAAGGGTCGCGTGCAGATCTTGCACTCTGCGCCATAGTCCTCCTTCAGCATCTGCACGTAGGTGCTATCCGGCAGGCATTTCTCGCAGACGGACGGAAAGTCGGTAGTTTCCCAACCCGATCCTACAAAAGTTAGTGTGTGCTACGCGCAGTGGAAAAAGACATGACGTACGGTTCAGGTCGCTCTTGATTTGCGGCGGCATGGTGAGGCCTGCTGTGTAGGTTGTGCGACAGTGGCTGAGTTTTGAATGTAATCTCGCGACTTCGCCGAGCGAATCTGGGGACGTCGAGTACGCGTAGTGGGGCGCGGTGATTGTTGCGACAGATGGTATGGGAGTGACGGTAGAAATCTAGGCACTACGCTATACGCCTCTTACGGTCTTGGCTTTCACGCGCTCGGGTGGCGACGACCGACCGCTAGCGCTGTTGACCAGGGCCGCGTACAGAGTCGGTCGTGATTGGGCGACGCCAGTTACCCCCTAAGAAATTCAAGTCCCAATCTCCTACCCATACCGCTCTTTCCTCTCCGGGGTCGTCTTTATAAAGTTTCAGGGTCCTGTCCTCTTCGAATTGTTTATTCTACTATCCGTACCATTCACTTCACTCCCCGCATAACCCCATATCACTCTTAATACTCATCATGTCTCCCATTGCGCTCGAAAAGGAAGACCATTCTCGCGATGCCGAGTTCAACAAGGCCATGCACGGCAAGTCTGCAAAGGCTCGCGGTGGCATGACTGCCATGTTGCAAAAGGACAAGGCTGCCCAGCAAGCTGCTGTCGACGAGTACTTCAAGCATTGGGACAACAAGGCCGCTGGCGACGAGACCGAGGAGACCCGCAAGGTACGCATATGTGGCATTGTTGCATACCGTGTTTACTAACAGACACAGGAACGACGAGATGAATACGCTACCCTCACAAGACACTACTACAACCTCGCAACCGACCTTTACGAGTACGGCTGGGGACAGTCTTTCCACTTCGCCCGCTACGCCTATGGCGAGTCTTTCTACAAGGCCATTGCACGCCACGAGCACTACCTTGCCCACAAGATGAACCTCCAAGACAACATGCGCGTATTGGATGTTGGCTGCGGTGTCGGTGGACCCGCTCGTGAGATTGTCAAGTTCGCTGGTGTCAACGTCGTTGGATTGAACAACAACGATTACCAGATTGAGCGTGCCACTGCCTACGCCGAGAAGGAGGGCCTCTCAGACAAGCTCAAGTTCACCAAGGGTGACTTCATGGTACGATATACTCCCACACCCTGTGTACCTTCACTAACCCGTGGCAGCAAATGTCTTTCCCCGACAACTCTTTCGATGCCGTCTACGCCATCGAGGCCACTGTCCACGCACCATCGCTCGAGGGCATCTACAGCGAAATCTTCCGCGTTCTCAAGCCCGGCGGTGTCTTTGGTGTCTACGAGTGGCTCATGACCGACAAGTACGACAACGACAACCCCCACCACCGCGAGATCCGTCTTGGAATTGAGATCGGTGACGGTATCTCCAACATGGAGAAGATTGAGGTTGCGCTCGATGCTATGAAGAAGGCCGGCTTCGTGATGGAGCACAACGAGGATCTGGCAGACAGGGACGACCCTTACCCGTGGTACTGGCCGCTCTCTGGCCAGCTGAAGTACATCAGCACCATTGGCGACATCCCCACCATTCTTCGCATGACCAAGGTCGGACGTGGTCTCATCCACAAGTTCGTCGGTGGTCTGGAGGTGATCGGTCTCGCCCCCAAGGGTACCCAAAAGACTGCCGACAGTCTTGCCCTCGCAGCCGACTGCCTTGTTGCTGGTGGCAGGGAGAAGCTCTTCACACCCATGTACCTTATGGTCGGCAGGAAACCCGCCGACGCATAAGTTTTCAATTCTCGCCCTTTGCATTAGACTTCTCTTCGCATCTAGGACCTTGTTGGTCTGCGAGCTATTCCTTCGATATAGGAGCATCATCTCCTGGCATTTGCATCACGCGCATTGGAGACGCGCATATATACTGTAATATTTGGAAGTAGGGCACGGTCTAGGGACGGTCATGGTAACGCGAAATGTGGTGCTATAGAGAATAGAAGAAGTAATCGTCATCTCAATGTCTGGATCATTATCGTACAATTTGCACACGCGACTATTGAATCACTATCCACTAGATGCACTATGGAAGGGTTGATTGTCTGGTGAAAGCGACGTTGTTGAGGCGGACCATCCAGGGACCATCCAGACGCACGTCGGGTGTTCTCGCTATAGTGTGGTCCCTGCTCGAGAGCTTTGATCGTTAGCGCCGGCCCCAACGACTCGGATCTTCGCATCAAGAAATTGTCCAGCAAGCCCCAGCAACCACCACAAGCCTCAGCGGCCATCACTCGCCCACGGCACTTCCTCACCACACCTTCACCCTCACACACATCCCACAATGGCTGCTTCAAGGCTCCTCCGACCCACCTCCCGCCTCGTCTCGGCGTCGCGGCCAGCGCCCGCCTTCCGACCAGCTTTCCGCGCCGCAGCCATTACACCGTCAATTGCGAGGAGAGGATATGCGTCGGGCCAGAAGGAGATGACAGTGCGAGAGGCGCTCAACGAGGCTATGGCCGAGGAGATGGAGCGCAACGACAAGGTTTTCGTGCTCGGAGAGGAAGTCGCGCAATACAACGGAGCGTACGTCCCACCATGAAGAAGAGAGATGTCATATCTGCGATAAGGAAGAGGAGGGATCAATTGGGCAGAGAATACATCGCAGGCTATACACGACGGAATATCAATGGACGGTGCTGACTGAGCCACAGCTACAAGGTCACAAAGGGCCTGCTCGACCGCTTCGGCGAGAAGAGGGTAATCGACTCTCCCATCACAGAGTCAGGTTTCGCCGGTCTGACCGTCGGTGCTGCGCTCGCTGGTCTCCACCCCATTGTGAGTCCCTCAGTCATCATGACCCAAAAAAAGCAAATCTGACAGCGACGACAGTGCGAGTTCATGACCTTCAACTTCGCCATGCAGGCCATTGACCAGATTATCAACTCCGCCGCAAAGACCCACTACATGTCCGGTGGTATCCAGCCCTGCAACATCACCTTCCGTGGTCCCAACGGTTTCGCGTCCGGTGTCGCTGCTCAGCATTCCCAAGATTACACCGCGTGGTACGGAAGCATTCCTGGATTGAAGGTTGTTTCGCCATACAGCGCTGAGGACGCCAAGGGTCTGTTGAAGGCTGCTATCCGCGACCCCAACCCGGTCGTGGTTCTCGAGAACGAGTAGGTCATAACAGTCACCAGACAGGAGACTCCGTGCTAATACCTTTAGACTCCTTTATGGTCTTTCCTTCCCCATGAGCGAGGAGGCCCAGAGAGACGACTTCGTCATTCCCGTAAGACACCCCACCAACCTCCCCACCACACTTCCAAACTAACCCCCCATCCAGTTCGGAAAGGCCAAGATCGAGCGCCCCGGCAAGGACCTCACCATCGTCACCCTCTCCCGCTGCGTCGGCCAATCCCTCGTCGCCGCCGAACAACTCAAGTCCAAGTACGGCGTCGAAGCCGAAGTCATCAACCTGCGCTCCATCAAGCCCCTCGACGTCGAGGCCATTGTCAAGTCCGTCAAGAAGACCGGCCACATGCTCTGCGTAGAGTCTGGCTTCCCATCCTTCGGTGTCGCATCTGAGATTATGGCGCTTACTTGCGAGTACGCCTTCGACTACTTGGAGGCGCCCCCTGCCCGCGTCACTGGTGCTGAGGTGCCCACACCATATGCCCAGAAGCTCGAGGAGATGAGCTTCCCCAGTGAGAGCTTGATTGTGGATTATGCTGCTAAGCTCCTTAGGGTATAGATGTAGCATGAACGGAAGAGGATAGCGTAGTTGATCTCAGCGTTCTGTGTTCAATCGACACATTGCGTTTGATAACTATGTGGATATGAAGATTTGGGTTTTGGCGAAGGAACCGGATTATGTATGATTCAGATGGCCATTTTCGGTTAAGGTAGACGCGTAGGTGCTGGTTTAGAGCATTTTCGATTGCATGTACAAGTATTCTATTGCAACTCCATCTAAAGATTTTGAAAGAATTCAGATCTGGGGGCGGTGTGACTGGAAGTGATGGTATGGGCTTTGGGTCTATAGGTGAGAGGGGACGAGAGGTAAGACGCTGACATTGGTAGGGTCTTTGCTGCCTTCGTGACAGCTGTTTGCGTTTATTCCCTTCTATCACATGCTGCTTTCGAGGCTCGGGATGTTAGTATCTCACCGCTTTTCCATGTCAATAAGTAACTGAGGTTCTCTCACCTCGAAGCTGGGAGTGCAGTATACCTGCTTCAGTTTGTTTCTATAGTCTACTTCCACACCACAGTCTCACTTTAGTCCTCTCTTTCCTTTCTATGGTCTAATCGCTTGTTCAACGATCTACTTCAGCGAGATGCAATGCTGCAGCTTGAGATTTCTAACAGAAAGAGGTGACAATGCCTGCGATGTTGTGCGACTGCGCTGAAGCGGGTATGCCGCTCACATTGAGTTGCGCAAGTGCTCTCTACGAGCAAGATTCACGATGATTTACTCAGATGGGCACGCGCCGGCACGGAGTCTACCACGAGAAAGAGCATGGCAAAGGTACGAGCGGCTGCGCACTGGCTATGCCGCAAACGATGAGGGTGCTGGTTATCGTCTTCACTTTCATCGATGAATCCGCATCTCGCGCTAGTGGGCTCCTTCCACTTCTGAACGCAACTTGCAACTCTGCAACCCATTGACCGCTCACCACGTCTGCACATAGCAGCGCGACATCAGTCACGAACTTTGCAAGAGCGCGACGATGCCTGCACTCTTGGGCACCGACGCGATGCCAGAGGAGGAGCACAACAGTGACGAGGTGCTGGGTGACTCGGAAGGTGGAGAGGTACGAGATACATGGCAGCTACGGAAAACACACAAGATTCAGACTGACATTCTCATTCTAGGAGAACTACGAGGCGTTCGAAACCCCGGCAGCAGAAACCTACGCACACCTCCCCAAGCCCATCTGCGACAACATCCACTTCTGCATCCAAGCTATTCAGACCAGTCACTCTGAGTGGAAAGACGCCATCAACGCTATCAACACCGCATTCGAAGCGCGAAGAACCTCGCTAGAGGAAGAACACGGCCGAGCCAAAGCCCAAGAAGCCGCCTTTGAAAAGAGAGAAGCGCTCTACATCCGCTTGCCTACGAACCAAGCCGTGAACCTGGTTCACAACGCTTTGCTTGTGGAACATGCGCAAGAACGCGTACTCATCGCGGATATGTTCAGGGCGATTAAGATTGGGAAGGTGGATATGAGAGCTGCGCGGGCTGATGGACTGACCAAGGCCAAGGAGGTATATCTGAGGCAGCGCAAAACATTCAGCAAGCTGATCGAGGGCTTGAGTGGTATGGCTGGGAAGATGAAAGATGAGCGAGCCGTTGGAGAGAGGGGAAGTCGGTCGACAGTTTCATCACTGGCTGTCAGGTCGCCTGCTCCAGCATCATACTCTCAGACCACGGCACATGCACGCACAATTACTCCACTGCCTCCTATTCAGATCGGCAGCATGGCAACCCTGTCATTGTTGGAAAGGCGCAGCGGTACAAATAGCGAGCTGAGGTACTCACCGGTATGTGCGACTTTCTTGAGGGTTGTGACAGTAACTGACTTCTGGGTTTAGGGCGCCTCGGCCGCTGCCTCTACAGCTATGGCCCTCTCCACAGCTCAGAGGCACAAACTCACATCCACTATCAAGGATGTGATTCGCAACTGCATTACCGCCAAAGCATCCAGCGTGTCAAATTGGCGGGTGGAGAGAATCAAGTCTAAAACACAGGCGAAGGCGGACACAAAGGCATTGACGACGAGCTATGAGCTTTTATGTTCTCACGGAGATGACTTCAACGCGAGAGTCACCCTGTTCGAGAGCTTGACATCCTATCCAAACTCCCTGCGTCCCTACTTCACCCGCATCGAAGGTGACATGGAAAAGGAACTTCTCCTCTTGAATGAATGCAGCAAGCATGTGAACGAAGAACAAGCACGCATTGAGGGAGAACACAAGGAGCGGAAAAGTAAGGCTTACGAGCGCTGCGCCGAGGAGCAAGGGTGGCATGATAGGCAGTTACACAGTCTTCGGTTCCTGGCCAAGACTGCAGGAATCTCTCTTGACGACTGAGGTATACGGTCGATTCTTCAACGCGTTGAAGAAGAGTATGGTGGCCCTGTTAGCAGCCTTGAGGGGAACAGACTAGGTAGGCTCATCGTATGCCATCATACAGGCGCGTGGCAAAAGATAGCAAATGATAGTCGGTGCGGACGATCGGAGTGCAAAATGCAGAAATCGCTGGTCTCTATCTTCACCTTCACTTTCACCGCTTGCCTGGTAGTTTCGCGCTAGTCGCTCCTGCTCTTTCTGGAAAGCTCTTTGACTCTGTACTCCACAACGCGACCGCAACACCAACCGAAACCAATACTGCGGCGACGCCTGCGACAGTCGCGCTGACCAGCCATGTCGTCGGACGCCATCATCGCAGGCCTCAAGCAAGGCAACGCCATGGAAATGGCAACGATCGACGAAGTCAAGGCGGGCATGAACTCTGTACTTGACGGAATGCTCCGGGAGTGCTTCAACCGCAGCGATGGGCTGACCGAGCTGACTGAGAACCTTCAATTGGTGCGTACTGCTCTCGTGTGGTTATTTACCAACCTTGGATTGACATCAACATACAGGAAAGCTCGAGCGCGGCGGCCAGAACTATGACGGCAGAACAAAAGACCCGGCTTACGAAAGTCATCGAGAACGCTATCGGAGACTGCGAGAAGGCTATAGTCAACAATGACATCAAGCGAGCGAGCGAATGCAGATCAACGACAGCAACATTCAAAGCTGAGTTTGACGTTTTGAACATGATGCGTACTACTGGCCACGCTCAACAAGGCCTGTTCAAGCGATTAGAGAACATCTTCGATGATCAACACGGAGATATCGACGGCGCTGAGCTGAACGAGATAAAGGAGGAAGGGCACGGTACCATCGAAAAGCTTCGCACCTTTTACGCATGTGCAAAGGAAAGTTTCGTAGACAGGCGAAGTCGTCGCATTGAAGAGATTGAGAACACGCACAAGACATCGCAGGATGCTTTGGAGAAGCAGATCGAAAATCTTAAGCGCATCGCTGCTATTGCGAAGATTGATCTCAAAGCTACAAGCGAGAGTGATATACCAGCTGATGGTATACCATTTGACAGAGCCCAGGGCCGGTCTACAAGTGAGAAACGTTTCCTCTCTCTCCCTGGTGCTGGTCCTGTGTACCAAGATTCTGTCTACAACCCGCTGGCCCATGTCGTTATGGGTCCTGGTCGTAATGGCTTTTAGATGAGAGACAGCGAAACCTGAGTCATAGAGAGCGGGAGTATGGCTCTCACACTAAACGGTTGCTAGCGGGTTGCGCCCAAGTATGATGAATTTTGGAAGTCCTCTGTGAGCAACGGGATTGTTGAGATTGATTCATGTGCAGACCATGCATAGAGTTACACGGTCGCCATCAAAGCATAATCCCATAGTAAAGTAATTGAAACGTCAAGAATACATCTCCACCGTACTCATGATGTGTTGAGGTGGCCACCATGACATGACCATGGACCCTCGATCAACCATATCCTCTGGTTGACGGCGTCCCCACCCACGGAACCAAACTTTACATGCCGTCGATGGACATGTTGACGTTGCACTTGACAGCTGTACTCAGGGACGTCCGTTGTTCTCCTTTGCAATCTCATCCTTGATCTCCAACGACAAGGACTTCGTGAGGCGTTTGCCCAGGATGCTCAAGATGGGTTTGATCGGTACGGTAAGTAATGTCTCTAGCTTTTCAACATTGGAAGACATCTATCACACTCAAGTCAGGTCTACTGTCAAGACCCACCCTCGCATCGTTGTCCAACAAGACCACTTACTAAGATAACAACAGATTCGAAAGCGACACCAAGAGCGCAAAGACAAAAAGAAGACAGTACGCCAGACGGTACAACGTAACGAACAGCTCGAAGTCGACACCCACCAGACACATGTCGCGCCCACAACACCTACCCCAGCCCAGCACCTCCCCTTCACAGGCCCCACACGATTCTTCTCACTCCGCCGCAAACGCGGCGTAAGCATCGGCATGTCAACCTACGAGCAACTCCCCAACGGCGTAGAACCCGCACTAATCGACCACTCCTGCCACCTAATGCAACGTCCCAGCAGCGAAGAGCTACCCGATAAATCCCCCTTCGCCACACCCCCACCCGCCGACGCAACCTCAACCCCAAACCAAGACACCAGCCCAAAAACCTGGCTCAGTCGCGTAGGCGGCTCCCTCCGCCGCAAGCCAAGCGGCATACGCTCAGCCTTCTCGTACACGCTGCCTCGGAACTGGAAAAGCAACAACAACAACAATAACAGCACTGGCGTCAGTGCGCAGGCCCTCGCAGAAACAGCGCACGAGTACAAGAAAAGCCAGATACGTAGACTCGATCCCAGCGCCATCGACGCCGCCAACGACGACGGGCGAGGACGAAGCCCCCTCCCGCACCACTGGCGCGAGCAATCTAGTTCCTCCGTCTCACACTCACGCGATGGAGTCGTGAACAGGATGAGCGATACGACTAACACTACTATGGAGGGAAGTGAGATGGGTGATTGGATTGATCCGGATGAGGAGAGGAGGGAGCAGGAGTTTGAGGATTGGATCGTGCATAATAGGTTGTTTGTTGAGGGGGAGGGGCTTGATCTGGCGAGTAGGCGGGTGTCGAGGGTGAGTGCGCTGTCGAAGAGGAGGTATAGTGATTATTAGTGGGGAGGTTGGGGTATACGATGAGGTTTGGGCGAGGGACGGGTAGCTGATGGTGAGGTTTGAGGTATACGTGGGTGCGCGTCTTGATGTGAGCAGCGTACATGTGTGTTCCTGGGGTCTACGTGACGCTCGGGTGAAGGTGAAGGCGAGCTACAACTGGGTCCCGGTCTTTTGTCAGCTTCTTGTTATTCTAATCTTTGTTCGCGTTCCGGGGTGAAGGCGAGATTTTCATGAGTCCGCTATTGTTCAGTTAGTATTGTAGAAAGTGGAAGTGAAGACAGCAACGTGCCTATTGTAACAATAGCAGCTATCGTCAGCCATCTCATCTTCGCGCAGAAGCTAGCAATATATAAACAGCTCATCCGCCTCCATCTCTTGCTCTTTAGCAAACACCACACCTGCTCATTTTCAAGACATTTCCAAGTTCCTTCTTCCCACCATCATCATCATCATCATCACCACCACCACAACAGCAACAATGCTGTCCCCGCAGAACAAGCTGCGCATCTTCCTGAGCCTGGTGCTCATCACCATCTTCGCCGCGAGCTCAAATGAGCTACGCATCGCCATCGGCACCCTCTTCTCTTGGGCCCTAGGCCACGTCCTCATCCACCGACTCTCTTTGTCGATCTCCTTTCGACAAGCCCACAACACCTACATGATGGTGTCGTTTGGCCTGCTGGCGGGCCTAAACGACCCATTTTGGGAAAACACCTTCGGCCGCATCCTCGACCTCTTCTTCGACCGATACCGCTTCGACCCAGACGTGCCTGGGTCAGGCTTCACAGACTGGCACGAAACCTTCCGCCGCCGAAAGGCATACGAGATAGATCTCGTTTGGCAATACCTCCGCACCGCGCTCTTCTGGTCCTTCGTCGCCGTTTTCCTCGCCGTTGCCGTTCCGCTTGTCCGCTGGTTCACTCATGAGAGTCAGACGACGAAACTGGAGCGGGCCTTCGCATACATGAGGGATCACCCTGGCGAGCGACCTCCCTGGATGTGCAAGCAGCCAGAGGCCACAGTGGTGTCCAAGAGGGACACAAGATACAATCGCCTGAGCAGCGAGCTCATCTTCGTGTGTGGCCCTGGTGGTGGGCTGGAGACGGTGATCGATGGCGACATCGAAGGCGCGATCTCTCGCCGGCGGGCACTGAGGCCGAGGTTCGCATGAGCGCTGGTCGCCATGCTGGTGGAGTTGTGGTTGGCGGTGGGCCATCTTGACGCTGGTCGTTGGGGTGGTCAGGATTTCTTGTTTCTTTTTGCTTGGGGTTTGGGTTTGAGTGTTGTCGACGGCGGGCTGTCCTGGCGCTGGTCGCTGGGAAGTCCAGACCGGTCGGTACTCTTTATATAGATTGGTGGATAGGATAGTACTTCGGGGTCGTGTCCGATATCCTATGGTTGGATATGTTCGTGAGATTCAGTCTGGCTTGTCCCGATTGCAGTTTTCGAATGCATCTTTCTTCCTTCCCGCTAAAATGTCCTCCTCAAGTCTGCGTGAAGGCCTCTACCAACCTCCTCTTCATATACAAATCGTGTGTCCGGGCTCATAGGGTTGTGATTGGTGGGGATTGGCATTTGAATGGCTTCGCATACGTGCTCCAGCAGATCCGGAAGTAGTTCATTGACTTTGGCTAGCAGCAAAGGTATGAACTTAGACGAGCCGCCCGGTAGCTTTGCTATCAACAGCATCAACTGGGTCAAGTAATCTGGGGGGCTGAGTTCGGCATGTGATGCAGACTGAGGCACGAAATGAAGAACGTCCGCTAAAGCGCAGGCTATGTCGAATATTTTCTCCGTCTAAGGTTGTTAGCAACACGATAAGCCTGCGACTGAATGACGTACCATGCCGACGCCATGGATCTGCAGACTCTGAATAGGTAGCTTCATCGAGAGAATGGTCAGGTCTTTGCCCACCAGGATGGGGTATCTGAATGTTAAGCAATCGTAAACAGACTCCGTAGAGAGAAAACCGAAGCGGGGAAACAGTTCCCACAGCTTGATCTGTAGCCAGAACTGCGATATACGAACATTCGCAATCTCTTCGTTCGAAAGTTCGAGATCAGTGGGCAGCGCGGTGCGAACATCGTTCTCGAGCTGAAGCAGCCACTCTTTACTACAATTTTGCGCAGCACCGTTCCACACCGCAAAGAAGACTTCATCGAGGGGTCGGAAGACTGATGTGAGGTGGAGCAAGCCGAGGTCATCATGGCTATCGAGTGGGTAGCTTGAGGAAGTGATGGATAACGTGATGGGCCGATTCCTACGAACGCCATGCGCTCTAACAACTAGTAAGCAATACATTCATCACGATGCCCATGGGTACCGCGAATCGTCGCTGTCATCGCTCACAGGTGGGATTGAATAGAAGAGAAAGGGACAAAAGATATCATGAAGTCAGAAGCGCGCATGATGCACCACGATGCCTCAAAGTAGCAGAACAGACTTGGGAAAGACGGGAAGTATTTAGCGTACCTTTCTGACACTACCAAAATCCAAAACAGCCGTGTCCTTGTCTTCATGTCGAACCAATCCCTGTCCTCGTCTTTAAGCATCATGAACAAGGTTGTTGCTTCTCTCAAATAGAACCATGCTTGACGATAGTCGCCTCGGCCAGCATAAGCTCCGTACAGAAAGAAGGAGGTATAAACTGATCGATGGTCAAGCTGCGTAATCCTATCTCGCTGCAGCGAGAGCAAGGTATGATCTAAGTAGTAGGTTTGTGAGTGCGTCTGTGAAGACTGTGTAGATCCGCAATTGGCATTAGTGGAGGCTTCCGCAAAGTTTGCCATGTACGCGCAAAAGGCATATACGAGCTGTCGGGATGTCGGCGAAGTCTGCATTTGCATGAACTCTTCTCGCAGTCTTTCGGCTGGTATGAGAGCTACTATCCTGTATATGCGCTCCTCGTAGACGTCGACCAACGTTTTGAAGACTTCCCTTGTCAATTCCACAGCGGCGGTAACGACCGCGGTCGGTGCAGCATCCTGTGGGTCGAAGACGTCGGCATCGTTATGGGGGATCGCTCTCAATTCGTTGAGTACGTTAGCCCTGGGACCTGTGCGACCTCCTTGGCCCCGTGGTGCATTGAAGGTGCAAGCTAGTTTTGCCGATAAACATCCTGCGCAAGGCTGTGCGCCATTGCACTTGGTTTTGCGGCGGCGACATGGGTCACATGCCTTTGCAACTTGTTTCCGGTAGACTGTCCTAGACACGGTGTTCTGCATCAAGCTCGAGTGTCTACGTGGGGTTCATGATGCTGATTAGAGATGTGAGGAGGCGTTGTGTGGAGTGGCCGCAGCCCGAGGTAGCCCGCGGGCTGGTCAGACGCGTCGCGTGATGCCGAGGCTGCTTACGTCATGTCAACACACTAATCTCTAAGCAGATGCGCGTCACTGAAGAGACAAGACATCGCTAACACGAACAACCATCTGCGAACATAGCTCATTACCGTTTGAGACGCGTAAAACTATTATATCAGCACCGCAATTAAGGCTATTCTCACTCCTTCCATTCCGAGCCCACGGCAGCGTTCTCATCCGCGACACGCCCATGCCCGTACGGGTCGACCTGCGTGCTAGCAAACTTCCGTGCGCTGACCTTCTGCTCGAATAACATATCTAGCTCCCCATACGTCCGACCCTTCGGTTCTGGGAGCCTGAAGTACACCCAAACCACAACGCAGCCGCAAGTACCTGCCCAGAAGAACGCCGTCTTCGCTCCCCAGGCCCAGTTGGCATCTCCAAGCTGGTAGTTCGTCAATACGTTGACCACAATATTCGAGATATTGTACAGCGCTCGCGCGAGTACGATCGTCTTGGCCTTCAATCTTGTGGATGACATCTCCGACACGATTGAGTAGGTGACGGGACCGATCGTGAAGTCGTATACGAAGACGAAGAGAATCAACACCGCGCCAATAGCCCAGTTCGAGGCTTGGGTACCAGCAAAAGAGCATGATCCAACGATTATCAGGATGATGAAGAGTGTGCAGCCGCCGGAGAAATGGATCGTCCGTCGACCGAACTTCTGCATGAGGTACCACGAGCCAGCAGTACCGACCAGGCCAAGAGCGAGTGAGATCATCGACATGTTGAACGATTGTACGGTGGGGAGGCCTGCTTTCTGCATGAAGTATGCGCTGCTTTGATGTTAGCCCAGAGTCCCTGCTGGCTTCACGTCTAATACTGACAAGTAGCCCATGATGTTAGTTCCGCAAATTGTCTGAGCAATCCAGGTGAAGCATACGATCTCAGTTCGTCGAAGATCTGTTCCCTTGAACAGATCCGTCCATCGGGTGCCTTCTGACATGTTCTTTTCCATTTCGTTGGTATGCTCAATCATGGCGATCGTCTCGTCGGCGTTGAAGTTCGGGTCCTTTTCCGGCGAGGTCAAGCGGAGCAATGCAGCTTTAGCGCCTACTTTGTCGCCTCTACGAACATGCCACCACGGACTTTCAGGTGCAAGAAAGACACCAACCATGATCGGTAGGGGCCAGACCCACTGCACAGCAAAAGGGATGCGATACGCCCATTGGTCGGAACGTTGGACGCAGCCGCGGTTTACGCCTGCAGCTATAAACTGCCCCATCACCCAGCACCTGGAAGGTCATTAGCATTCGGTCTCGGAGAAGGTGAATGCAAATGCTTACATGTTGACGAACGTGGTCAGAATCGGTCTCAGACGTACAGGTGCAACTTCCGATGCATACTGCGTTGTGAGGGTCTGAAACATGCCCCACGGGATTCCACAGAAGACTTCGCCGATGACGAGGGTCTGAACATTGGGCGCAAAGAACAGGATAAAGATGAAAGCAGTCATCGATATCAGGGCACCTATCATGGTCTTCCGATACCCATACCGCTCGCTAACGAAGCCGTTGATGACAAGACCGATGACCTCGCCAGCTCGTGCGCCATTAGATCTGACGCTATCAGCCACAATTAAACTTCGGGTTACGTTCCATCGATACTCACAGTGCGCTTTGCCAACTGGCTTGAACA